GTCCGCTTCCCCTCCCCATCTCCCAGCTCCTGAGGCTGGGTGTCCAGGGAACAGCCAGTTCCACTGCTAAGGACTGAGGCAAAGTAGGCGTTGAGCACCTCAGCCTTTTCCTCATCCTTAGTTACCATGTTTCCCTCTGCATCCAGTAAGGCAGGGAGATTTTCCCTAATCATCCTTCTGCTGTTAACGAATTTATAGAAACATTTTTTGTTCTCTTTTAACAGCTGCAGCCAAGTTGAGCTCTAGATGTGCTTTGGTTCTCTTAACGTTCTCCCTGCATAACTTCACTACAACTTTATAGTCTTCATGAGAGACCTGGCCCCTCTTCCAAAGGCAATAGATTCTCCTTTTGTTCTTGAGATCCAGCCAAAGGTCCCTGTTTAGCCAGGCCGGTCTCCTTCCCTGTCTGCTTGTTTTTCAGCACACGGGAACAGCCTGCTCCTGTGCCTTTAAGACTTTACTCTTGAAGTATGACCATCCTTCTTGGACTCCCATATCCTTCAAAGGCAACTTCCCAAGGGATTTTGTTAATCAGTCTTTTGAACAGGTCAAAGTTAGCCCTGCAGAAGTCTAAGGTGGCAGCTTTACTAACCCCTCTCTTTGTTTCTCGAAGGATCAAAAATTTGATCATCTCATGATCACTGCACCCTAGATGGCCTCCAACCTTTACCTCCCCCACAAGCTCTTCCCTGTTCACTTGTACAGCTCTGAAACGCTGCTACTAAAGGTCAGAGTATTTTAATACAGCGATGTCAAACAATGAAATGCATTTCCTGCCTACAAGTAAAGAGGAAAGCAGCGCTAAATTTGCTGACATTTAATTTTCCCAGTTAAAAACCCCACGCCATAGTACCAATGTAAGCATTCCATTAATTTTAATGCTTTTACCACATATACTGCAGCAGGGCAGCTGTATATGTATAAAAAAGAAACACTTCTTTTCCCTAAAACCTCAGTTGCTTTACAAGTATAAAAGGTGGCTCCAGAAAGTGCACAGCACACAGTCAGGCTGATGCAGAGCCATCTGCTGGGAGCACAGTCAAGCAGCAATGAAAACAACTTTCTGGATCCCACCGAGTCCAGCAGGATTTCTTGCCATAAAGAGAGGTTTATTGGCAGCACCTCCATCCTCCCCAGCTGCTAACAACATCCTTGCTGTTTCATTTGAAATGGAAAATACAAGCATGTACAACATCCTTAGTCAGTGTCATTTGATCTAGAAGAAAAATGGATTTTTAGACAAAAAAGGAAAACAACATATACATTCAAGCCAGGCCAACTCCATTAACAATGAAGTTTGCTGACTTTACTCCTTTACATACAGTTTGTGCATTTTAGGAGAGTAAAGAGGAAACATGTACCTGTGCACACATTTCTTCCGGAGACCTGATGCTACTAAACAAAGTGGGGAGGTCTAATGTGTAAACTGGAAACTTTTCCAGGGTGTGTATTACTGCAGGTGCCAGATGAGAAGCGTGCCCATATCCTGGCTCTCCGACTAATAAGAACTGTGGCCTGCAAGATGTCAGCTGATCATAAGCATTTCTAGAACAGTAAGGACGAAGTAAGTTTAAAAATGGAAGTGATGACTAGGCACACAGAAGTTAAACGATTTTTTTCCTATGCACTTTTCTCTTTTGGCAAATACTCTTCATCTTCAAGCAAATAATAAGACGGTCTGTGATCGGGAAGACCATCACAGCCCATTTTGTCAGAAACTGGTACCATACTTGCCCTAAGAAAACCTGCCAACCCGCAGCACATCTGCTCTTCGCTGGGCGAGGTTAAGTACCAGCTCTTAAATCCCACAGGGGGACTGTCCAGCTCAATACAACATGATAACTGGTCAGTAACCTGATATGGGGGAAAACAACTCTCTTCCAGCACCCAGCAATCTGGACCTCTTCACTGCCCCTACACACCAGTTCTCAGCAGGTCTTGAGTTTAAATAACCATGAGATCTCTACATTGGTCAAGTTTAGCTGAAATTTGACCATAGTTACTGGAGATGGTGGGAAGGAAGGGACAGAAGCCCATTTTTAGACAAAAAATAGCACGGGCACTGAAACACATTAGCTGTTATCTGAAGTACACAATTGGATTGGTTTCAAGAGGTATACTGAAGACACAGAAGATTTACCTTTATTCAGTCACTCTAGTTGTTTCACTTTGAATTGTGCATTAATTTCCCAGTCATCTTGCTTTACTCGCACAAAACACATTTGTGAAGAGCATTTGCTTTTTCCACCCCAATACTTTTGGCACCTTTACTGGATGAAGTCAATGATCCTAGAGTCCTAACCAAGCTCAGCAAGTCCAAATATTTTTTGGACAGCACAGTGACAGACAATGAGAAAAATAACTGACCCTACAGTGACGACAGGAATCTATTTTGTCAGCTCTTGGCTTATACAACTTCCACAGTAAAATGTCAAAAGTTTAACATAAACTCAGTAGGCAAAAGGTAGAAAATGCAGACATCATTGACGTTTTTATCACAGTGGTTCAACAAACCATTTCTCAGTTTTGTTTCTAATACACGATTTCCTGCTGGTTTCACAATCTGGGAAGGCAGAAGGTCAAAAGATGGCTACACAAATCCATAGGGGGGTTTTAACTAAAAGGACAGACAGCACATTTCTCTGGTCTGGAGTCCTTGAAGGAATACCAAGGGTTAAGCCAACATGTTCTAATAGTCTGCGGACCACTGACTTGGAAAAAGAGGGCTGCGCTGGTCAGTGTGATCGGTCATGACAGTGTACTCTGTCCATTAGAACATCGGTACCCCGCTGGATCTTCACGCTTACTTCTTGCAAATACTGATCACCCACCCTCCCCAACAGCTCTTGACTCCTTCATCTACCACCCCTCATACCAAAACTGTTTACAAACCCAGTCATCTTCAAAATGGAAACATAAAGGGGATAAACGTTTACCTGCTGAAATTCAGGAGGTTTTCCTTTTCTCTAGCAGGTGTATTACGAGTCAGCTCGTCTTCAAAGGCAGATTGCGCCTCCTCATGGCTGTCAATCACATCATCTCTTAAACCGTCTGAAAGACAAGACCAGTTTGTGGAAAAAGAAAGACAAGTCCAGAGCTTGCTCTCCCATTAACAGAGCTAGTTCTAAATCAGTGCTGGAAACCACTTGTATTGGAGAGCACATGCTGAAAGCTGTTTTCTGAGGAGTTCCTTCTACCACAGATCTAAGGAGACTGCACGAGTCTCTACAAAGCTGTCCTATATCCCATGATTTGCATAAGCTATTATCCCTCTGTTGGTGAAAACCTGGAGATCCTTTCCTTAGAATAAAGACGATTAGGAACAACTTCTGTAGCTCCTGGAGCAGGTTCCCCCACTGGACGTGGGGCAAGTAAGTGGATGCCATTACGTGGCTCGCAGTTTGATATCCTGCACTTGTGAAGCAGCCTCACAGTCAAAATTTTGCTCCCAAGAAAGATGCCCAAAACCCATTCTACGTTCCGATGGACAAAAAGAAAATCAAAAGCCAAGAAGCATCTGACTTATGCTCCCCAGACGTGCCAGCTGCCTCACCGCCTCACTCTGTGGCATGGCACAGGAGCTGGGGTACCGCCTGGCACAAGCCCAGATTCCTTGGGACTCAGTCACACACAGTAACTCACTTTGGTTTCAAAATTACCAACACATTTTCAGCTAGCTCTTCAAGAAACACGTCCAATGGCTTAGGGTCCCAGCCTTGCGTGTGAATCTTTAAAATCTTCTTTCTGGACTGGAAACAAAATGGTTGCCTTTCAGTTTGTCCTAAGTTTTCTCTTAAGAATACCTCAAAACCCCAAACCAAAACCACAAAAATCCTCACAATAATACAAACAACACTCTTCTCTGCTAAACTTTTAAAAATTTGAAAGCTCAGTTAATATGCTCTCATCTTTTTCAAGCAGGACATTTAATCATTCTCAACTTGCTCCATTAAACCCTTCCTGCGGGTCTGCAGGGAAATCAAACGTGTTTATAGCTTCCATAAAAAGCAAGTTTCCACAAGTATGAGACCTACTGATCCTGAGGAAGAACTGGTAGTAAAAAAACAAAAAAACAAACAAACCCACCACAAAAACAAAACCCAAAAAAACCTCATTTGCAAACAAAAGACTTTTCACCAAAGAAAATTCTCTCAAATTTAGCAAAACTTCATGGTGACAGTCTCATTAGTTCACCAAGTTTGCTTTTCTGCAGGTTCATTCAGGGAAGAGTCCTAGCATGACCTTTCAAACTGCTCACTTGTAACAAGGAATAATAATTCTGACTCAAAATACTGTCACTGATCCAGAAAATGTCAGATGTTGCCCATCCTCATCACCAATGAGCAAGACTTTCACTGAAGTGTTTCCTGGTACATGGGTTAATTGTGGCAGATTTCTACATTTCTTCCACAGTAGGGAATAACGTATTGGATCTGTTCCACGGCACCCACTCTCCTGTTGCTGAAACCAAGAAGCGAGAACAAGAATGCTTCAGGCTGAAAAGTGCCTAAGTGGATTAAATAAATAAGCCAGCATGAACCGCTTTGGGAATGAAACATTTGCATTCACTCCTGCACCTTGATAAGCGTTTTTGTTATCAAAAATGGAATGCTTGTGTGCATTCTTTCAAAGATGAGAGAGCAGCAATTTATAACTAATGCATACATTCAATCTTTCTTAAACACTTCCTTGACTAGAAGCATCCCATTTTCTTGGCTGGTCACAGCGAAACCAAAAGTAATTCTACAACTTCGCTGAAGTCATCTTCATCATAAACATTCAGGACCAGATCAGACCTCCAGAGCGCAAGACAGTTTCTCCAGTATCACTCTTTTGTCCACGTTGTACAATACTGGTTCTGACTTTCGCTGCTCCGTGATACTGCATCATTACATGGTTTTGTTGTAAAGATGGACTCTGCCACATTAGCATTAAGACTGAGCTGAAGTTCTTACCTCTTTATTTGGCAAGCTGAAGAGGAGGTCTCAATCAAAGCGTCCGGTCTTCGTAAAGCAGGATCGATGGCATCCGGTCTGTTGGTGGCTCCAATCACCACAACCTCTCCTTTGCTGGCCAAGCCACCCATGAGTGCCAGAAGTGTTGAAACAACAGAGCTAACAGGAAAATATAATTTTCATTCTCTGGTTTAGTAAATGTTGTTATGTTCTACATGACCTTCTTCAACAATCACTCCAAAAGGACAAGCTTTTAATTTATTTTTTTAACTGATTAGTGACTCATTTGAAGACATAACAAAAACAGATAAGGTAACACAAGCCTTGTGCTGAAATCAAGCTTAGTAAATTGTTTTCAATTCTTGTTTAAAAATCACCAGAATTTTAGTAGCATTGAATTACTAGTTTTCAGGATAAATGAATGTGTCACAAAGTTAAATAGGTTGCGATCTTCATTTCACAAAGATTAAGCAGCTTCTATGTAGGTACCAAAAAAATGTTCTACCTGTGAATTTGGTCTTGCTTGCTGCACCACACAGGAGCAAGAGCGTCTATCTCATCAAAGAAAATAATTGAAGGTCGCATCTGGTAGGCCTGGAATGAGAACACAGGGATATTGACAGAAGCAAACCAGCACTATTTTAAAGGGAAAATGGATGAAAAACGTTATGGTTGGAAGGTCATAGGAACTAGATTTTTCAGACCAGCATCAGGGATCTCTACTAACTGAATGAATGGAGTAAGTGGCACAAGTAACAGAAGATGGAGGCGTCTGTCAACCCCCTGAGACTGGGTGACAGGAAACAAATCATACCAGTAGTTTTTACAGCTCTTCGGCAGCTCCTGAGAACAGAGCCAGGACTTAATTCAACTACAGGTTCTGGAAGCAAGCTTCTGTTATGAATTTAAATGACCGTGCTTTTCGCCCGCATCTCCTTCCCTCTGATCTAAAGCCACCATCTCTTTTGCCTCTTGAAACCCTTTTTGTGGCTGTTATTTGGGAGGGAGTTTGGGGGTTCTGTTTTGGGGGGTTTTTTGGTGGCAGAGGGTATGGGTTTGCTTTGTGAGGTTTTCTTGTTTTGTTTTATTAATCTTTCCCAGCACACCTCAAGATTTCAAGCCCCCCCCCCCCAAAAAAAAAAAAAAAAAAAACACAAGAAGACGTGAACTGTTCTTAAAAATACTGACCACAGAAAATTACAGTTACAACTCGGACTGAACACATGGCACATTTCAACCTTACCTGATCAAATAATAAATGAAGCTCTCATTCAGATTCACCCACCAATTTACTCAGGCAGTCAGTACCTTTCCTCATAAAAAAGGCTCTTCTCCCGTCACCTTGGCTACATTCATTAGCAAGTGTAAGTAAGAAAAAAAACGCACAACTCTTCTCTCCTAAGCAAAAGACTTCTTCTCTACAACAGCAGCAACAGCTGAAGTGTGAGAAAAGACAAAACGGATGGAAGCTTTGTGTTCCTACACAATTCAACAAGGCAGCAAACAAAATGAATAAAGAGGATAACACAGACGTACAAAACCTTGAGAAAAAAGTCATAGTGTCCCAGAAGGATACTTCCAAAACTGCTGACAAACCAACAGGGGTGGTTACAGCATGGGGGAGCCAAACAAGACCAAGCTTCAGTGAAGCATGAGACCAGGCTCTAACATGAATCACCAGTTTGTTTTTCGGTGATGCACTGCATATTCATTCTTGTTTTCACAAAAAAGCAAGATTTGATAGTAAAGCATTTTATTCCCCTTCAGAAAGCTTTAAGTTACTGGATTTGGTCTCTCAGACCATCCACTGCTGATGATAAATGAGAAGGAAGTCTAAAACTGGGAGGGTATTCGGCATTTCCAGATAATCATACTCTTCATCTAAATAAAAAAAAAAAAAAATTAAAAAAAAACCCAAACACACAACAAAAAAACAACCACACCGCTCTTTCAAAGAGAATTCCAATGAACAAAGAAGCAAAACACCGTAAGATTTTATTTGTACAATTTGAAGTAGTTTTAAGTTACTGAAAGGAAAGAACTTTAAGTCATATTTCAATATCCACAATCGAGTTTTGCTGACCAAGAATATGTAAAGCTAACAATTAAATTTCTAATGATTTCATCTCATAACGTAGAACTAATTTAGCTGTGTCAGAAGCGGACACATTCTTATTTTAGCCCAAGCACAAACACCCACTGCAAGGGTCTAGCTGCAAGTCCTATCAATTGTAAAATGGGTACCTGGGCCCTTGGAAAAAAATAAAAAAAAAGAAAAAAGAGTCAGTGGGAGAGACAAGTGGACTTCCAAGCAACAAACTACAGGTGACTAACAGTACGTAATCCCTTCCTGCTTATAAATTAATCAAGTTGCCTTGTACATAGAACTCAAAAGAAGAACACCACACCACCACCTTTTAAAAAGGCAAGGCACCTTTGAAGTGTATTCTCACCACACACTCAATCTTTGAACCCACACATATTCTGGATTCAATCCATTTTCAATAAATCATTTTTTGCTACTGCTAAAAACCGCCATCAACGCTGCTGAAAATTCTGAAGTATGGAAATATATTGATACTTCAGTCAAATATTCTCCAGAAAACAAGTGAATTATAGTTTTAAACAACCTCTGTTACCTTGTCATTTGAACTTTCAATCTCTCAAGGAATTCCGGGTAAAGCAATGGATAAACAACCATCTCTTTTAAAGCTGCAGTGTGGTCAGAAAGACCACCCCACACCATCCAATCGGACCTAAAGAGAAAGTCAACAGAACACATTTCTGCATGCTAAGGAAAGCTGCGCCCTCAAATGAGGTTCCGTCAGAAATCACACGTCAGCACAAAGGGAATGTTCTTGGGTGGTTTTCAAATTGATCAAGAGAAAACTGTAAACCAAGGTGGTTGTAGACAGAACGTTACTGAAAGCTTTTGCAAACACTGGAAGCATCTCCCTGAGACAATGAACTAAAAAGACTCACTGAACTATCTGTTTGTATTGGATCACCATCAGACAGACTTGCTCCAATTCTCATTCGATACCTGGGAATTCCCTTTAATTCGTCTTTCCCCAAGTTTACTGGAAGACACCTGGTTTGAATGAAGGAGAAAGAGAAAGGCGCTTTCTAACTCAGGACGCAGCTAGAAGGGTTTTGCTTTTAGGAGGATGGCAAGTGAATGCATCAACTTCCTAAACAGTTAAATATTCCTTTTAATGGGTTTACATTTGATATCTGTGAGCAAATAAAGGAAAACAGTCACTCCAGACATTGAGCTGTTAATTATTCTCACAACTCTTCGCACTTACGAATATTCACGCCAGCATGAATGCAAGAAACAGCTATTCTGTACGTGGAGACTGTGAACTGACCTTGACTTGTGTGATGGAAGAACCTCCCAAAACACACTGACATCCTTCAGAGATTTTACACTCAGAAAGTTACAGACCAAGGGGATACTTATTTCTGTGCAGATTAACATTAGAAAGGCTATGCACCACTGCTCCTACTTGCTGAGGACTCTGGGATATTACGTGCCAGAAGACACATGTCTGAAAGACATCAGGCTGAAAACTCATCTATTAGGTTGTCCCTAAAATAGTTTTTCGAGAGCATCTGTTATGTAACAAAACCTCGGTCGCTTCCTCTATTTATATAAACATTTTCTGCTATAGTGGTTTTCTTCCTGAATAAACCTCTGCAAAGCACAGTAATTAAAACATGACATAAGTGTCCTCACCCCATTCCTGCCTAGAAAACAAACTGCTTATTAAAAATCAATTTAAAAAAATAATTTCTAGAGAGTCCAGTTACAGCTGTCAGGACCAACAGATCTGATCAGATATTGCCACCGTTTAAAAAGTGTACAAGGTGAAGAGGATAACACTTCAGTTAGGCAGATGCAAACCCCTCCCAAATTCTCCAATTTCATTAAATTTCCTAAATCTGTTACAGCTGCGCTTCCCACACCTCTCATGCTGCTCTTTGTCACCAGAGGAGGATGCGGAATCATTCTCACGGGCTGCCTGTCTGTCTGCAGACACAGAAATGAGCAAGTAACAAAACTGAGGTACGCCCTAAGTCATATCAAAATCTAAGTGAATTCAATCTCAGAATTTACTTTGAGATCTATTAAGTTTCCCGATCACTGCACTCTTATGAATCCAAAGTCAAGTTACATTACGTGGTTTTCCTTGTGGCAGCAAAATTTAGTTTTTCTTAGGAAGGTAAAATGTTTAACCAGTTCATTGTGTCCAGTCTCTTTCTCTCACACACAGAGTTTCTCTTGGCATTACGTATCCACTCTGGGAAACAGAAACTTTAACTTATTTAAAAACTGGGCTTCAAAAACTCTTCCTTCTGCTTTCAAGGATGCAAAACAAAATGCTTCCTCCTCTCTAGAAGAGACCCCATTCTCCCTGCTCTAACTGGCTACAGGATCCAAAATCCTGTTGTCATTACTACTGCAATTTATAATCTCATTTAGCATTTTTCTTGTTTAAGGTTAGTTTCATACAGAAACATTAACTGATTCCAGAAAGAGACCAGAATCAGTATTTGGGTGATTTTAAAAAAATAAATAAATTTTTAAAAAATTAAAACTTCCGTACAGCTTCTCCCTCTAACTCAATTACCTTCAATTTTAAGAAAATAATCTCTATCCCTCAAGATTCAATAGTCTACGATTTTCAGACAGATATTTTGGCTTCAGTTCCAGAATAAAAAAAAAAAAATCTCACTTCCACAATCTCAGCCACAACCTCCCTAACCACCTTATCACTCCTAAGGTAACATCAGTGAAAAGGCAGTAAAACTGCCTTCTAAAAAAATCTAATGGCTAATAAAAAGTATAGCCTCCCCTCCCCGAACGTTCCTTGTCTTTATACCCTCAGACAGCAGCAAACATCCTACTATTAACCTGCAATTACCACCAGTGCAGAAACCCTCAAAAGCTTTATTCAGTGACGTGACTGACAGCACTATTGAAAAAGAAGAACTATCACTGTTCTAAAGAAGAACTAGACACCAACCTGTTATTTCTTCCAGAAGACCCTTGTGACTGACTGTTTCTAAAGGAACACCTGTCAGGTGAAGACTGGCCCAAAAAACACATCTTACATTGGTTTGGTTCTGTTGAAAGCAATGAATTTACAACACTGCTACAAACAAAGCAGGATAGTGAAGGAGGCAGAAAATGTGTTTCACCTAATTGCAGAAGAAGTGTCAAGTGATTTGGGGAAGGGGATTTTTTTTTTAAATCAATGTACAGTAGAAGTGAAAACAACCCCCCCTGCTTTTTAAGAACTGAAAAACACAGGAGTAAGATTATCAAGTATGTTTAATTACTGTTCTTTGAAGGATACGCAGGTCATTGTTTGACCCAAAAATCAACAACAAGTGTGCCAAACGGCAAAGAAAGATAACGTGCACAGGGTACATGCATTTCAGAACATTTACTTGCAGAGTAGAGGTAAGAAATGTCAAGAGAAGTTGAGTGTGTTTATATATTTTCATTCCAAAAAATTCTCACTCCTATGCAAGAAGTTAGCTTGAAGAGGAGCTGTACATGTAACGTACTTGCCATTGGAGCTTGACAGTGCTCAACGGTTTTTCTCTGTCCAAAGGAGCAGGGCTTCCGAGTGTCTTCACCACCACCTTCCGCCTCGCCGCCTTCTGATGGAACTACTGAGCAGTGACATAACATTAAACAGGTTTGAAGTACTGTAGCAAATTAAATTAAAATGCACTACTCAGATGCCTACATGGCCCAAGTGTCACCAGCCCTTTTTATCTCCCTGCCCTCGTCCCACTCTTGTTCCTCCCCAAATTACCTCAACCCCTCCCTTTTCCCGCCTTTGCTTCCTGCCCTAAAGATCCCATAATAAGTCCTGTGCAAACTGCTCTTCCCCGGCCTCCCACAGTATGTCCCACCCCTGGGCAGTAACCCCTTAGTCCAAAATGTGATTGGAGAGCTGCTCCCAAGGACTCATCCACATGGTTTCACAGCTGCACACCCGGGCTGACGGCTCTCCTGGGGCAGCCCTGGGTAGGACCCAGACAAGGCAGCTGCTCCTCCTCGATTTGGGTCCCTGCCTCTCACTGTGCCCCCCTGGGCTCGTGTATCAAGGACTGGGATGGGCTGATGGCCCTGGGATGGGCCTGGCAGTAGCCCAGCAGGGCATTGTTTGGGCTCCCCCTCCCACCACTGTCTCTCAGAGCTTTCTTGCGCATATGCAGAGATCTATCACAAAATCTAACACTGATCGGCTCAGCTACTGCCACATCCTCTTCTGTCCTTAAGTACAGTCTCACCCCCTTCTTTTCCATTCAGAAAACTCCTTCAAGGGT